TTTTTTTTTTTTTTAATTTTGGACATCAACAAAATCCTTATCTTAATTTATTTTTTTTTCTATTTTCCTCCAAAAAAAAGGTAGAAAAAGAAAAGGAACTTTTAACCTTGATCAAAAAAAGTGTCAGCAGTACACAAATATTTTGTTTTTCCCCAGTTTCTGATAGAGAATATTTCTGACTCTTGAAAAACATCTCTTGCCCATGTTCTAGTTAACATTTATATGAATGTATTTTTCCTCATTTTCTGGTTCATGATAATGCTGCAGCTCTAAACAGGACCACCTTATTTCATCCCAAGTATTGTTGCTATCAAATGATAGTTACTCTCCAATTTGAATTTCAATGCAAAAATCACCCTCATTAATGCTAATATTTCTGTGAAATAACCCTTGTGTATTTTCAAAAAGAAAAGAAATAACTGCACGCATTCAAGATTCTAGGTTGCAAGAGAGCCCAAATTGGAAATTGTTGAAAACTAAATTTCAATAAATAAATATGGTTGTTTAACAACTTAAGATTCTAGGTTATAAATCAAGTCGTTTAAGGCTTTGTTTAAAAGAAGCCCAAGTGCAAAAGAGGGTGTATTCAAGAACTCAATTTTAAATAAATATGTTCAGATAATGAGGGTTTAACGGGAATCAAGCTCAAAAATCATTTGAGAGTAGTATCGGTTTGTGCAAGAGTATAAACATTTGAGAAGAGTTATTGATGTTCAAGCGTTGTCACGGTTAAAGATGTACAGTTTTCAAAGTGAATTATTGGACCTAGGCCGGTATCTATAGTTTCAAGGTACGGAAGAGGGACGCACCTTAATGACTATACAAATGAGTTTTCCCATATATTATAAAATAAAGGAAAAAGCTGTTAGTACAACATCAGTGTGCAGTGTGCAGCCTTGTACACAGCTCTCTCACAATCGTGGGCCCCACGATTATTTTATAATCATGTGCCCACTATTGTAGTGAGAGAGCTGTGTAACTTGGTGTACACCAGTGCTGTACACCAAGCATCTCTCTAAAATGAATATGATCACAATGTTTAGACGAAATTTGGATCTGAACATGATAAAGCATAATAATAATAATAATAAACAATATATCATAGCATGGGATTCAACATGATATTGAATGAACATTTGAAACAAGATTTTTGTAACAACTAGGCTTATTGTTTATATACAAAAGGTAATTACTAGAGTGACTTTTATTTACACTGTTAAGTCAGAAAACTGTATCATAAATGCATGGAAGAAATAGATGTGTTCTAGCAATCAGCATAAGACAGAAATTTCCTGATAAAGCAAAAAAAAAAAAAATCAATTTCTGGAAACAGTAATTTTCATGATAAAAATAAAAAACTATCGTCTTCAACTAGCTACAATCCATTCCTTCAAAATCTCTGCATATTTTTTCTTAAAATTTTCAAACAATCAAACATCTAGAGGCAAGACTGTGTTTGAACAAGACGCGTGCTGAACAATGACTGATTCAGATGTAGCGGTGTCAACATTTCTCTCGGTGATCTGATCTTCATTTTCTAAGGAAGATAAACAAGGGCTAGTGGATGAATTAGTAGAAGAAGAAAATGAAAAGGGAGAAGTGAATGAATATTGTGTTGCAGAAGAAGAAGAACAGTGATCATGGTCTGTGGAAGAAGACGAAGAATTTGAGGCCACTAATTCAAGATGAACCAATAAATCAACAAAAGCTCCAACAATATACCCATGGTTTTTCTTGGAATTAACTCTCAAATAGCAAGTTAAGAGTTCTTCAAGACATTCCCAATTCTTCAATCCATAAGCCTCCACCATTTCCTCCATTGATAATCTGAAATCCACACAGGGATCCCTGGATTCCATAGCCATTACTGTACTTTGTTTATAAGGAAAAGATTCATCAGTTTTGGCTTCTTCCAGGATTGAACTAGTCTCTCCTGGCTCAAAAAACAACCTATCTGATCTTAAATCTCGGATCACCATCTCAATATTCGACTCATCATTTCTTGATGCAAATGAAAAACTATCATCAAAAGAGTCGCTAATGCTAAAAGCTGAATCCGGGGTGTCGAGAATTTCTTCAATTGTCATTTTGTCGAGGTAGGCAGAATTCATAGTCTTGAACATCTCATTGTTGTTGGCTCGGAAGGAAAGGGTTTTTGGGTTGTTGACACAAGTTGGCCATGGCCATGAAGAACTGGTGGCGGTGGCTACGGCGGCGGTTTCGGTGGTTTTGAAAAGAAAAGGAAATTTAAGTTTTTTGCCCATTAGGTAGGTGTGGTGGGGGTGGAACTGAGAAGAAATATGATTTGAAATTTGTGTGTATATTTTAGTGTTTGAGCATTAAAAGCTTCGATAGGGTATTAATGGCAGATTTGAAAGGAGTGGAAGAATTAGGACGAAGAAGAGAAGGTTGGTGAACTGAGGAGAAATGTTCCTTTGAAAACAAACGAGAGTTTATTACTTTATTTGGGTATCGTATTTATTTTACCTTTCCTTTTTAGCAAAATAAGTTTAAAAGTTCTTTACCAAATAATCACTTTTAAGCACAATAAAAAAATGTTTTAAGCCTGTTTGTTTGCGTTTCAATTTTCAATTTATTTTCTATTTTCTATTTCAAAAGTTTTTATTTTTTAAAATTTACAGAAAACACTGAAAACACATAGGTGTATGTGGTGGCGTGGCGCCAAAATTTAACAAGATTTAGGCCTTGTTTGGTACACATTGTTTTTTTCATTCTCATTCTTCTACTCATTTTCAACCACACATTCTTCAATAAAATAATATTTCTCATCACATCAATAACTTTTTCTTCAATTTTAACCACACATTTTCCATCAATCTACTATTCAATAATACATTCTTTCAAAAGAATGTGTCCCAAACACACTCTTATTATACGACTATTGAAAGCATGGCGCCAAATTTAACCCGATTTATTACACAACTACCGAAGCCAAAATTTAACAAGATTTATAACACGATTTCTAACAACTTGGCGCCAGATTTTAACAAGATTTATTAGACGACTACTTTGTAGCATTCTTCTAATATTGAAGATTGAAGAGAGCGATCTAATGTCGTATTAGAATATCCTCCTATGTCAAATATTACCACCTTTCATTTATGAAAAATGAAATTATTTTTTTTTTTTTATGTGAAAAATTCAAATTATTATTATTATTATTATAAGAATTCGTCCATATTTTTTAAATAGTTTAAGCAGTTATCGGTGGTTTGACGAGTGCAAGTGAAGTTGCGTGCATGAGACCAAATTATTATTATTATTATTTTTTATGTGAAAAATTCAAAAGAAAGGATCAGCCCTTATTCCATGGTTCACTCGATCCAATAAATACATAAATAGTGCGTGACAAAATAAGGAATAAAAAATACTTGAAAATTCATGATAAAAATAAAATAAAAAATAAAAAATCATAATCACGACTCAATTTCAATATAAGAACTTTTCAGCCTCCACTTGCTACAACGTGGCCCAAATAACGAATATTTTTCACGATTTTAGATTTTATGACTACCATTATAATTGTTAAAGTCGAAAACCCACTCGAAATCTTGACTAGACAATACGGAGTTGTCTAATTTATGAGTTTTGCTATACAAACATAATGGTTGACATAGGAAATGACACAACAGACATGGAGAGGTCGACATTATTTAATTCAGGTCGGGACCCACATACAATGTGAGTGGTCGATCAATTCCTATGTCAAACATTATGTTCATTTAGCTTAATTCCTAATTTCTACAATGATACATGCAAAATTGTTCGATTATTGAATATTAATGACGCAATCTCTTAAATGTCAACTTTGTTAAGAGTCGGACTATGTCAAACATTTATCTTTTTTGATTATTGTTTTTATGTTCCCGTAAGATAGTCGAGCTCGATAACACTAATCTTGAAGTTCGAGATTCGGTTTGAGCTTTTAAGCAACTAATTATTAATTGTTTATCGCTGCTTTTTTGAGAAAGCGTGACATTTAAGCAATAGAATAAATAATGATTAAGAGTTGGCCGTTGAGATCTTTAATATCGGTGCTTTAAATTAAACGATAGAAATCAAATTTTGCAGATTTTGGGGGAGCTTTGATTTAGCTGATGGATGAATTCATTTATTGTTGTGTACTTACTTGACGAGTCGGTTTTCAAACTTTTTAATTATTCAACAACTCCATTAAACTTAAGGAAATATTTCTCTATATTTCCGATATTTGTAATATTTTTGAAATTATTATTTTTAGTTCTTTCGTTTAATTGACCGAAAAAAAGTTATATAAGATTTAAATTACAGTATTATTTACATTATGTAATTATGATTTTGAAACTTGTCGTTTTTGTTGGAAATTTAAGTATATATGAATTTCCTATAAATCTATTAAGTAGGACTTGTCTAGTTGACAGTTGAAATTATGAAAAGTAGTATGGGGTTTTACATTTCGAAAATTTGAAAACCCATTAGGTAGGTGTGGTGGGGGTTGAACTGAGAAGAAATATGATTTGAAATTTGTGTGTATATTTTAGTGTTTGAGCATTAAAAGCTTCGATAGGGTATTAATGGCAGATTTGAAAGGAGTGAAAGAATTGGGACGAAGAAGAGAAGGTTGGTGAACTGAGGAGAAATGTTCCTTTGAAAACAAACGAGAGTTTATTACTTTATTTGGGTATCGTATTTATTTTACCTTTCCTTTTTAGCAAAATATTCTTCTACCCATTTTCAACTACACATTTTTCAATAAAATAATATTTTCCATCACATCAATAACTTTTTCTTCAATTTTAACTACATATTCTCCATCAATCTACTATTCAATAATACATTCTTTCAAAAGAATGTGTCCCAAACACACTCTTATTATACGACTATTGAAAGCATGGCGCCAAATTTAACCCTATTTATTACACAACTACCGAAGCCAAAATTTAACAAGATTTATAACACGATTTCTAACAACTTGGCGCCAGATTTTAACAAGATTTATTAGACGACTACTTTGTAGCATTCTTCTAATATTGACGATTGAAGAGAGCGATCTAATGTCGTATTAGAATTTCCTCTTTTGTCAAATATTACCACCTTTCATTTATGAAAAAATTACTTCTTAATTCTTAATTAGTCTATAAAATTTGATCTGGATAATAGTCGTCGTGAATAAATACAGATTATTGTAAAGCTTAACTTTTTTTAAGTTGGTCAAACATGCTGTTTACTGATACATTTATGACGTGTTCGTTAGAAATTAAAATCGGATTAAAATTGAAAAATTAGCTGTTATTGTTGACTTTTATTAGACAAGTGGGATACAATAACAACTATATTTTCAATTTTAATCCGATTTTAAGCTTAGCCAAACATGCTCATATATAACTCGAAAGTTTACTGATACATTTATGACGTGTTCGTTAGAAATTAAAATCGGATTAAAATTGAAAAACTAGTTGTTATTGTTGACTTTTATTAGACGAGTGAGACCCAATAACGACTATATTTTCAATTTTAATTGGATTTTTTAATCACTCCCAAATATGCTCTTAGTAGGATTTATACTCATTTAATATTTATACTAGGATTATTATTATTATTTTTTATGTGAAAAATTCAAAAGAAAGGATCAGCCTTTATTCCATGGTTCACTCGATCCAATAAATACATAAATAGTGTGTGACAAAATAAGGAATAAAAAATACTTGAAAATTCATGATAAAAATAAAATAAAAAATAAAAAGTCACAATCACAACTCAATTTCAATATAAGAACTTTTCAGCCTCCACTTGCTACAACGTGGCCCAAATAACGAATATTTTTCACGATTTTAGATTTTATGACGACCATTATGAGTTTTCATCCACTCGAAATCTTGGTTAGACAAAACGGAGTTGTCTAATTTTTGAGTTTTGCTATACAAACATAATGTTTGACATAGGGAATGACACAACACACATGAGGAGGTCGGCATTATTTAATTCAGGTCGGGACCCACATGCAATGTGAGTGGTCAGTCAATCCTTATATCAAACATTATGTTCATTTAGCTTAATTCCTAATTTCTACAACGATACATGCAAAATTGTTCGATTATTGAATATTAATGACGCAATCTCTTAAATGTCAACTTTGTTAAGAGTCGAACTATGTCAAACATTTATGTTTTTGATTATTGTTTTTATGTTCCCGTAAGATAGTCGAGCTCGATAACACTAATCTTGAAGTTCGAGATTCGGTTTGAGCTTTTAAGCAACTAATTATTAATGGTTTATCGCTGCTTTTTTGAGAAAGCGTGACATTTAAGCAATAGAATAAATAATGATGAAGAGTTGGCCGTTGAGATCTTTAATATCGGTGCTTTAAATTAAACGATAGAAATCAAATTTTGCAGATTTTGGGGAGCTTTGATTTAGGTGATGGATGAATTCATTTATTGTTGTGTACTTACTTGACGAGTCGGTTTTCAAACTTTTTAATTATTCAACAACTCCATTAAACTTATGGAAATATTTCTCTATATTTCCGATATTTGTAATATTTTTGAAATTATTATTTTTAGTTCTTTCGTTTAATTGACCGAAAAAAAGTTATATAAAATTTAAATTACAGTATTATTTACATTATGTAATTATGATTTTGAAACTTGTCGTTTTTGTTGGAAATTTAAGTATATATGAATTTTCTATAAATCTATTAAGTATGACTTGTGTAGTTGACAGTTGAAATTATGAAAAATAGTCTAGGTTTTACATTTCGAAAATTTGAAAATAATTATGATTTCATACTTATCGTTTTGTTGAAAACTTCGAAGGTATTTATGAAATTCCGATAAATCTATTAAGTAGGATTTGTCTAGCTGAAACTGCGAAAATAGTCTTGCGTTTACATTTCGAAAATTTGAAAATTGTAAGAATTATTGAGTAAATATAGTATTTTATAATTTTAAATGTTTGGTTTGTATTATTTTAATTGTTAAATGATTTTTGGAATAATTAAAAAATTAAAATAATATTTAAAAAATATTACGCCTATATCTCATCTAAGCTAGTAAAGCTTAAAACTTAGCTTTGACGTCTAGCCACACTTATCATAAGGTTATAATTTTATTGATAATAATGGGTGGGGTCCATTTTAGCCCATGAAAGAATCTTGATGGGTACTAAGTGGTCTTCTGACAATCTAGAAAGGGACCATTCTGCACACTCTTGCCTAGGATGGTCCAGTCCTTGCTCCTTGATTCATATGGTTCTACTTGGGTTGCAAGGGACCAATTTAATTTGTTTAACGTTCATCCCAAATGGATTCAAAATCATCAAACTAAGAATAAACACCAACGTTTGAGACCGAGTTAACGAGCTACAATGTAAAATCATCGAATTAAGTTAACAATGCGCATGCTTTGGAGAAATTATAATGAAAATGAGTAGTACTCTACGAAATGTGAATATGTTAATTGTGAACGTGTGATTTAAATTAATATTGTAAGACACTATCACTCTCTCAAAAGAATCACAACTTACTAAACATACATTGTAGGACACTGTCACTGTTGTAAATCACGACTTTTATTAACTATAACACATTTTAATTGTAGTGGATGTCCCTAACCTTAACTCATTTTCACACTAACGTCTCCAATTTTTTGTGAGAAACTCCAATCACCAAAATTTTATTCATTTGCACATCTTGTCTCCAAAAAAATTGTTAAGAGAGCGGGAAAACTTAATAATTATTGTATTTTGGAATAATAAAAAAACTAAACAAATACAAAAGTACGACAATATTTTCTTATTTCAATGCACGTTATCAAATTTTTTGGACAAAATCATCATTAGAAACCCGATACACTGAGGTTTATAATAAGAATGTGATCAAAAAAAGTTGAAGACAAAAATACAAAAACGAGCAAATATTATCGGTCTCCATGGTACAGCAAATATGGGCGCAGTTAATAAAATTTTTGGTGTGCATATAATTACCCTTAGAAACTAAAAGTTATGTTAGCAGGAAGCCTCTGTACAATATCTATCTTATTTTCCTGTATTACCACAAGGAACCCACAAAATACAAACGAAAGAGAGTTCACAGAATCCAATGATATTGGCACGCAAAAGAAATCAAGGAATCCATCAATACGTTCATAGGGGAATGCAGTATCAAGAAGCCAAGAGTACAGAGAAATTCCCTTTTCGAGGGCATTCCCCTTTATAGTTTCGACACCAAAACACAAACTATAATATCTGCATATAGTCAATGAGTCCAATATATCTTGAGTCCAATATATCTTTTAAGTTAGAAATAGGTCCCCTCAGGAGGCTGAGCCAGCTTACGGTTGTGTGAAACCGCCATCTCTTTCTTCAGCTGAGTCAGTATATGTTCCATCGTGTACTCCCGCTGCCAGTTTCCTAGAACTGCAAATTTCTTTGGTTCCACCTATATCAAGCGAACAAAATACAACAATATTCAATAGTGTGATAGGATAATGAAATCTGCAAACCTGCACATTTATCAGCTCAATGATGGAAACTCCCCATGATAAGTACAGAGTCGCATGATTAGAGGTTTTATTGATCCCCGAGAATCAAATAATGTTTGCATCGTCATTATGCCCTTGTTTGGACTCCATTAATTTGATAATACATTTTCTTCTCTCTTCTTTTCAACCAGACTTTCTCCGATAAAATAATTGTACACGTAAATCCAAAACTTTTCCTTCCTTTTTACCCACACATTCTTCAAAAAATCATTACAAAATACATTTTTCTCAAAAAATTATAATGGAGCTCAAACAGAGGCTAAATGTTGTGTAGGGTAGGATATTTCGACTGTATGTGCAAAAACGGGTAGACTTTAATTGTGCAGTGTATTATCCTCATCAGCCAAGGTTCAAGCAACCACCTGGTTCGGTATAATGAGTAAATTCATCTCCAAGATGGATAAGTCCATTTCGGACAAAGTTAAAATATTCATTGGTCCAACAATACACATATTAGTATCATAGGAATCGTCAACTAATATATAATCCAGTAACAAGAATCAAAAGATACCCCATCGAGGATTATATGGTAAGGGCACAATTTACATGACTATATTGATTACATCTACAATGTTTGCTACAACATAGTCAACAACAGAAACTTTTAAGATCATCAATCTTTATATGAAGGTCAGACAGGCCACTAGTCCCCAAACTCTTCCACAACACATTAGATCTCTTTTACTAACTCAACAACTTAGGATAAAACAATACTAGGTTAACAAAAATCGATACTATCAACTTAAAAATGAGATCAGAATTTTCTTACCACTCCAGTCTCACGGTTAACACAAGTCATGTTAATCCGAGAATGGAAGCGAACACTTGGAGGTTTTTCTGGATAATCTTTGTCACAGAATAGCTTCAATTGATATATACGAGATTCGTGTACAGACTGAGCCAAAAACAAAAGGAAATTAAGGTATTTCACTAAGAGCTGCAGCGTAGGTCAATAAATCCATAAACAAATGAGAAATGATAAACAGCTCTAATCAATTTATGATCAGATGAGATATCTCTCCTTTCATTAAGAGTTACAGTGTAAGGTCAATAAAACCATAAACAGATGAGAAATGACTAATAGCTCTAATCAGTTCATGGTCAGATGACGTGATATCTCCTTTCATTATGAGTTACGGTGTAAGGTCAACAAAACCATAAACAAATGAGAAATGACTAATTGCTCTAATCAGTTCATGATAAGATGATGAAATATCACACATTTACATTAATTATTCCATCAAAATCAAATTCCAAGCTAAACCAACTCCTGTAGAAGTTAATTAATTCCATACTCTACCAAATCCAATAGAGGTTTAGTGTTAATAATATACTTTGATGAGAGATAAATTGAATCATCTTGCCATAGAATACAGCTATTTATGGACAATGCCACCATCTGAATGCTTGCAAAGATTCCAAAAAAGCACTGGTAGCAATGGACCAAAAAGAAAAATGTGTTCTTGTAATAGATTCACACATCTGACGAACTACGATGATTCAACTTGCGCCACGATTAGTATCATTATCTGACGGCAACCAGTAATATATTAGTAAATCAATTGCAATATGAACAGCCACAAACTCATTTGCTTGTCCATTATAAGATCCTCGAGAGCACTGTAACCCCAAGATATTATTATAAGGCGTTATGAACAAAAATCCAGAACTTGATTCAAAACCTCTCGACTCATTTAGATTTCTCTTTCATATTCAGTTTTTTATTTGTCTACTAGCCATAGAAATAAATTCAAGTATAGAAATCAACTTCATTCCACAACTCTGCTCATTATTCTCCAAAAAGGACAATAACCCATTCTTATATAGTTATGTATAAAGAATAAAAGAAAATTTATGCTGGTGAATAATAAATTTTGATTATTGTAATCTATGAAAAAAATGGAACTTGTTGTCTTTCTTTCCAAGGCTAAAAACCTTACATTGAGGGAAAAGGTTAGTGTGTCAAAAAATGAAGGATAAAGGGTACTGGTTCAAATAAAATTATAATCTCCAAGTAACATAGAGCTGATTATACATCTATCCACAGCACTTACCATTCAGAGGAGACAATGCTAAAACAACCAGCAAGAGCTAAAAAGAGAATAAAATGCTCACATTATGAGGACCTATAATGGTGCCAGTCCAGGATCGCATGTAAATGTCATCTCCATCATCCATTCCATAGCTCACAGTACCATCTCCAATTCCCTTTTCTCCACGTTCCAATTCCTCCAGCAATCTGAAATTTCGAGGGACTGCAAGGAACCTTAAAAGGTATGAGATGCAACATATTTATTTCTTACAGATATGTAACCATCCCATCTCCTATATAAAGTAAAATGCCCAAGATTAGATAAATTGAAAGTCCAATGTTCATCTGTAAGTTAAAATTTAATATCATACTCTACTGCACAGCAATAAAGAAAAAACTTACCAGAAACAAATCATGAAAGCATAGACTAGAACAACAAGAAGAAGAAAAAAAAAGGGGATTTCTAAAAGCTTGGAGAAATAGTCACCCATCGAAGTTTGGTACATATATGAACTTGGCCTCAGAAAACTATTTTTGTGTCCTCTCAAAAATGCACCTGTTTGTCTCAAATCAAATGTACCAACAAAGGGAAGTCAACACAACTTATGGCAATCCAAAGTATGAAACCCCCAACTCATGGAATCAGAAAAGAAAACTTGGAAATCAAACAATTTATAGAGATCACAAGAACAAAGATCCCACAACGCATGATAATCAAGAAAGCAATCCTTGGTAATCTCAAGAGTCGCGTCAGGAGAATGAAGATTCCACAGCTCATGGTCATGGAAATTTAGAAAGCCAAACTTGGAACCCACAAGCTATGGCAACAAGGAGAATAATTTTTGCACAAGTCACAACAATATATCCTAGCATGGAAAAATAGGTTTTATATTTCAACAATAAATTCAATTATTTTGAATTCAACTCTTTTTGTGTATAAATACTCATGGTTTAAAACTTCTTTGATCATAAAAGAGAGAACCGAATTTCATTTCACTCATCGCTTTCTCTTTATCTCTTATACTCCAATTCATCACCGTCAACATTCCAATCAATCGAAAACCCAATAAAACGAAATACAGATTTTTCAGCAATAACCCAAGTGAAAATTCACCATATAATGATACTAATCACATGCTATAAACAGATTCACCTCGGAGATTTGATGGAATAACGTGAAAGAATCAAGAAACGTGGATAGAAAATAAACCAAAATAAAGAACTTATAATTTTTTGAGATAGATTACTACTAACCCACAACACTGGATCCTGCAGAGCCAGGAGTCATGGTGAATATGTAATCGGTTATTGGAGTAGAGATCGATTTGATTGAAGAGAGAAATATTGGAGAGGTAGAGTCGGGAGACTCAGAATCTCTGACGAGAAAAACGCGAGTTGAGTCTTTGAAAAGGTGAATAAAAAGGAATAAAGTAACAAAAATTATTGGGACGAGAGGATAGAACGCGTTTGGTTCAACTTAAAAAGTTTCTATTTTTGGAAGAAAATTAAAAGTCAATTGTGTTAGAAAAAAAATAATTTTTGAATTTAATTTTCTTTTAAATGTGAACAAAGTAAAAAATTTCCATAATGGCAATCACTAGTTTTATTGATCAATTGTTTCCGTTTCAATAATACTCATTTACTGCACGATTCTGAAAAATGTATCAAAATTCAAATCGTGTTTGAAGCGTCCCATCTAGAATTTAGGCATGCGAAAACCGTTATATCTAGAATAATTATTCAATGTAACTCCATGTCTCCATTTCGTCTAAAGATCAAAAACTTGTTAACAATTGCCCTCTCTATATGTATTCAGTAAACCATAATCATTATCCAAATAAGTAACCAACCCTAATTCCCAAAGCGCGTACTCATTCGCTTGCTGCCACCATCACCAATTGTTGCGCGACTATTATCTCTGATTTCATCACCTCACAATCATTATCGTCATAACATACAAACAATCGACGATCTATAATGCAAAAAAGCCAGCACTTTTTCATCTTTTCGTGCGACTGCTTCTTCGTTATATATCGTGATCGTAGCTTCGACCATTTATATTTGAATTTTAATTTCCCCACATTTCTTCAAATATTTTGTTTCCAGTTTTCTTTAATTTTCCTTCTTAGATATTTTCAATTCATTACAAGACAAAAAATCTAGATTTATTATTATTATTTTTTTTTATCTTGGATTTGTTTTGTATCTGCATATGTGGGTAGCATTTGATAGCTGATAATCTTTCTTTCAAGTGGCTATCTTTCTAGTTGAAAGAACATGTTTAAGAGATGAGAAATGTTCTTCATCTCCACTGAGGATGCATCCCCAATTTATGTGGTGTTAATGTGGCATTAAATGATAGGTGAAATTAAATAAGTCATTTAATTTCACATATCATTTAATCAATCATTTACATCCACATAGATTGGGGATGCAACCCCACTGGGGATGAATAACATTTTTCTTAAGAGATTCTCTAACTCAAAACGCTCTCTATTTTAAAAAGTCAAATTCTTAAAAATAAATTTCAAAAAACTCTATCCTAAAAGTATCTCCAAGAAACTCTTTATCTATGATGTATTAAAAAAGATGATTGAGGAGAAACTTTTTAATATCAATTATACCCTTACATATTTAGTTATATGCCCACATTGGCACTAAAATATTGAATACCAATTTTACACTAATATATTTAGCTATATGCCTAATATATCCTTATTTAATTTTACTTTTTAAATAATTAATTAACAACATTAATTCAATTTATTGAACAAATAAAAAATCCATTTTCTTTTCTATTTGTCAATAATGTTCTAAATTAATCTTTTTAATATTACATTAATTTTTATTAACACCATTAATTCAATTTATATATTTAGTTATGCCCCTGTTTGGTACACATTTTTTTTAAAATACATCAAGTGAGGTTCAATATAACCTCATTTGGTTTATAGTTTTTTGTCCTTAATTTTTTATTTTTTGTCAACTATGTCCTTATTTATTACTCCTAATTTTTCATGCATTTACTTAATTTTGCAACTTATAATATTAAATTAAATATAGTTCTCATCTTTCAGCCAATTGATTTTTAAATGAAAATATAATTTATGAAAGATTATAATATAAAATTATGTTGAGAGGGAAATTACATGCAATACATGATGAAGTTGATTCCAATGCAGAAAAATTCATGTGACCGGATTCAATTTCAACAAGAATTAAGTCTTTTTTCCATTAGATTGAAAAGAAACGACCATTTATTATAAAAATATAACTTAAATTTACTCCCTTAATTGAATTAGTCGGTTTTAAAAAAGAATTAAGCTATGGGTACATATGGTACCCATAGCAAAACTCTTTAAAAAAAATAACATCCATATTTCCTTATGTAAATGTCTATTTCATTTAATTGTTACAAACATATCCCAACAACTAAATAATGTATTTAGCCCGTGTTTGGTCTAAATTAAAATCTGATTTTAATCTAAGTCAAAGATCAAACAATCAATATTAACCACATATTTCATGGGTCCCACAACTTTTCAATCACACATTTCTAAAACTTCTATCACAATCTACTAAAAATCTAATTTTAATCCCCACCAAACACTCTCTTAATATTATAAAATTAATTCATATAGAATGTTACTATATAATTCGATAAGAATTTCATTTTATGTTATATACTCTTATTTAAAAGTTGTTTTAATTGGCAATTACATACGAATTCACATGATATATACCTAAGTTTAGATAAAAATGGAATACCAAATGATACGGTAATTATATTCTTCCTAAATTTTTTATTAACTACACAACATTATAACTGCAATAAATATTTATAATATTTGTTCATTTCACACTTAAGTTTTCAATTATTTTTCATTATATGAAAATTAAATAAATTATTATAACATTATAATATGGGTTGAAATTCTAAACATCCACACACAAAATTAACATATTAAAAATTCCAATATACTGAAAGGACTTACAACGAAGGAAGATGGAGAGAATCTGTTGAGGCTACATTTTTTTATTTCTTGTCAATTGAGAGCGTGTGAAAGAAATTATTATAAATATTATTATATACAAATAAAAATGATGATGTTGATAATATTAACACCATATAAAAATAACATAGTTCCACGATATAAATAAAATAATAACATAATTTAAAAAAAATAATTTCATTAAAAAATTATTCATTTATATATTCTTTTTAACAATTTTAATTTTTCCTTTAACAATATCAATTACGTCAACTATTTTCAAAAACAATATAGTATTTCAAAAATATTACGCATGTCATTCATTCTATACAAAAGACGCGCAACGCACGCACGTGTTTAGAGAGTAAAAAATTTAGAGAGTATTACACTCTAATAATGCTTTCCATTTTGACTCTTATTTTTCTTCTTTTCTCAATAAATATTTATTAATTTTTTTTCTTTTTTTAAAGTAATTTACAATTTTTCGCTTCGGAACGTTACTTACCACGTTATTGAAATTGTTAATTTTTTAAATGAAAGCAGACATAGTGATAAATAAAAAATGTTGTAAGCATAGTAACCATTATAAAAAAAAATTAAAGTTGAAAAACAAAGTTGAAAGTGCAATGACCATTGAAATTTTGAATCCGGTAGGTAAATTGTCTATTGGAGTCTCGAGTGCTACAAAAGGAGACTAACTGTCAAATTGATAAGTTGAGGTCCACTTCCTATAATTTCAATAGATGGGGGATTCCAACTTTAATTTCTCATTTAATAATGTGAAAGAAGAAAAAGTCTATGTGGAGACATTAGGGACCAAATCTGATTGAGGGAAAACATCAAGGACTTCAGTACAACTACGCAAAATAGAAATTGAAACTCGACAAGAAAGCCAAAAACCAAAAAGAAGAAAAATAGACTCTCAATGCTCTTTCAGTCTTTCTTCACGAGTGCAAATGCGGTACAGCAGCTGCAATACAGATTTCACTTGGAGCAAAAATAACTGTTAATCATAACCATCTTTCCAGGTATAAGCATCTGCAATCGTTGTTCCATTCAAATTAAATCAATGTTGTTATTCGTATTTATCCATTTTATATGTATCCGTCTCAATTTCAGGAATTAGCGGTCGAAATTGATGTCTCTTGAGTTTATTCTACATGGGTTTTTATATTAGCTTCCGAATCAGTGTCTTGAACGTTATTCTCCTTTTTTTTTTTTTTGTTTTATGTACAAACGTTTGAATTTAACTTAAATTTTATTGATTCCCAAAGTTCAATTTTTTTTTTTTTAAAAAAAAAAAAAATTGGTTGAATGGGAAGATATAATATAAAGTAATGTTTTATTCCGGACGTTCGTTTTTGGATTTTGAAATCATGTTTTATCGATTTATCTTGAAGAATCAGTAGTCGCCTTGATTAATTATTTTTAGCCCTACTTTATGTTTCCTCTGCTTCACTGTATTTGCTCTGTATCTTTTTTTCTAGCGACATTAATTATAGTTTGCATGGAATTTTGGCTATGAATTCAAATTAAGAAAAAAATCACAATAAGCGTTTCTCCAAAACTAATTTCAAAACATTTACAGCTTCTCAGCAGCACATTCAGCACGTCTAAAGCTGCTGCCCAACTTCAGGCCAAACTCAATAAAATACGTATATTCAATAGGATCTTGAAGTAAATTTTCTTGCAATATATATAAAGACCATCTACCATCAGTGCTGCAGATTAATGGGCCACATGCATGATATTATTTTCTCAATGAGAAAAAAAATCTCATGAACAAGAAAGTTCTTATATTGCTAATGCAACAGCAACATTCATGCATTTGAGCAAGACTTGTGCTTCTTTAGTGCATCAGAATTCAAGAATGTGTCACACAAGAGATGCGTAATCAATTGAAAAAAATAAATGGATCCAATGTGATGATAATTATAGTGTGTAACCTCAAGTAGTTACAACTGCATTTACAGGACAAATATGTAATGTACCTTCAATGCTGCATCACTACTGAAAGGAGGTTTTCCATAAAACTGACAGGCTATCTTAAGCAATGACAGGAGCAACCTCAAAACTTCTCCTTTCCTATAATTCATTATCCTCTCATTAATCCATATGTTCAATTCCTTAACACCACGACTTCTACTTGTAAGAGGACCAGGGAATGATTGTCTACAGAGAAGCTGCAAATAACTATCACCACCCATTCCAATGCTTGAAGCATCAACTTTCTCATTGACAATTTCTGCTAACTTGAGAACAGATATTGAACTTCCTAAAGGATTCTTCACAAAAAATACAAAAACATTTTCAGCTAAAGTAATACTATAAATTGTTACTGCTTTCATTCCACAACACTTGCCACATGATTAGGCAAATTTCTCGATCCTAGTTACCCAAAAAGGTTTAGAAGGAAACCAATTAAAATTCATCTTGGATATCTTGCCTATTATTTGTATTTGCTATAACATTGACACGAACCCCCTTCCACTCACCCCCAGAAACCAAAACCATAAAACAGTACACTTCAAAATCAAACCACAAAATCCAATTAAAGCTTCTGTCTCAATTCCTCATCCATCCAATTTCAATACACCATTAACTAATCTTCATAATCAAGAAAATCTAACTATACTAAGAATTTCATCATCCATCCAGAGGCAGCTAGTTTTAAA